TTTTTGGTATTTTTAGTAGAGACGGGGTTTCACCATGTTGGCCACGATGGTTTCCATCTCCTGACCTCATGATCCGCCTGCCTTCGCCTCCCAAAGTGCTGGGATTACAGCCATAAGCCACTGCGCCCTCCAGAGGTTGCCTCTTATATAGGGGGATCCAGATGTGGCAGGCGCACATCGGGCTGAGACCTAAGGGCAGAATCAGTGTCAGGGGCCACTCAAAGAGGAAGGGGCCCAGATCAGGCACAAGGGCTTAAGCCTGCACTTTGAGAGGCACTCCCAGTGCTTTGGGAGGCCGAGGCGGAAGGACTGTTTGAGTCCAGGAGTTTGAGACCAGCTTGGGCATCATGGTGAGACCCTGTCTCTACAAAAGAAAAAAAAAAGGGTAGGACCCAGATGTAAACAGCTGGCTTGGGAAGGCAGGAGGAAGAGCTGGGAAACAGCAGAGGGGTGTGGCATGGAAGAAGAAGCCCATGAACAGAAGATGAGGTGGGGCTAAGGAATGGAGGAGGGATGAGGACTATGCCTAAAGGGGTCAGGACAGAGGATGGGGCCAGGTGTACAGACCCGTCTGGGAAGAGGAGGGGAAGGGGCCAGGCATAGCACAGGGAGAGAGTGTAATCACTGGGGACAGGATCTGGGGGACTGGAGTGGATTTCCAGGCTGAGAAACCAAGGTCACGGGCAAAGTTGAGCACTAATTGGGGAGACCCTTGGAACAAGGAATGGCTGGAACACAGGGAGCAGAACCAAAAAATAAGGGAGGGATGGCATTAAGATTCAAAGCTGGGGCTGTGTGAGGTGGCTCACACCCGTAGTCCCAGTACTTTGGGAGGCCGAGGTGGGTGGATCACCTAAGATCAGAAGTTCGAGACCAGTCTGGCCAATATGGTGAAATCCCATCTCTACTAAAAATACAAAAATTAGCGAGGCATGGTGGCAGGCACCTGGTAATCCCAGCTACTGAGGAGGTTGAGGCAGGAGAATTGCCTGAACCCAGGAGGCGGAGGTTGCGGTGAGCCGAGATCGCGCCATTGCACTCCAGCCTGGGTAACAAGAGCGAAAACTCCGTCTCAAAAAAAAAAAAAAGAACAAATGTCACAAGAGTTGGACCCAAGTTGTAGGGCTAGGAAAAAATTCAAACTTGTGTCTGGTCCAGAAACCGGGGCAGGAGTGGGTCGGACAGAAGAGCATGGGCTGGGATTAGGTACAACGAAAAGGAACGGTGGCCAGGCTGGAAGAGACGCCGGAGCGCCCGGCCCGCCGTGGGCGTGGTCTGAGCAGACTCGGATGCTTGTCCAAAGCGCAGCTTCGCGTCTCTGGGGCGGAGTCTCTGCCCTCGTGATGTCCCCGCTGTGGTTCCTGGGCAAGTTTTGGGGAAATGAAAGCCGCTAGGGGCCACGCCTGGCCTTTTTCGTAACCCAGCGACCCGCAGTGCCGACACAGATTCCTGGATCTCAGCCCCATAGCGGCGATGATCCCGCTGCTGCTGCTGGCCGCGCTGCTGTGGGTCCCCGCCGGGGCCCTGACCTGCTACGGGGACTCCGGGCAGCCTGTGGACTGGTGAGTGCGCAAGGGGGCGCCTACCATTGTCCCGGGGTCCGGCGGGGGTCACTCGACCGGATGGCTGCCTCCTCGGGGAAGCCTGGGGTGCCTTCTCTTCCCTCTCCCCCATTTCTGTGCATTCTCCGGCCTCCAGGTTCGTGGTCTACAAGCTGCCAGCTGCCAGCGGGTCCGGGGAGTCGGTGCAGAGCGGGCTGCGGTACAAGTATCTGGACGAGAGCTCCGGGGGCTGGCGGGAAGGCAGCGGACTCATCAACAGCTCGGTGGGGGCCGTGGGCCGAAGCCTGCAGCCGCTGTACCGGAACAACAACAGCCAGGTGAAGGGGCGCCGGGCCAACCAGGGGTGAGACTCCAGGGCGGCCCTGCCTGGGGAGGAATTTCACGTTGCCTCCGTTTATCCGCCCCCCAGCTCGCCTTCCTGCTCTACAATGACCAACCGCCTAAATCCAGCAAGGCTCACATCTCTTCCAACCGTGGGCACACGAAGGGTGAGGCCTGGATTTGGGGGCTGCAGAGAGACTCGGGTTTCTTTATTTCTCTCTTTCTCTTTCTTTTCTTTTCCTTTCTTTCTTTCTCTCTCGCTCGCTCTCTCTCTTTTT